AAGGTTGAATTGGTTTGTATTAGGATTATTGTGGTTTATATCGTGAGTTGCTATAAAAATTTTGGTATAGTACTTACGAGCTATTCGGTAATACACAGTATGTTGTTAAGGTTAAATTAGTTTATATTGGAATTGTAGTGAAAAATTCTGCTACAGAGCTTCTGGTAATCACAGTATGCGATTGAGTCAGTTTGCATTAAAACTATCATGATTTCTATCATTAGTTGCTGAAAATTCATTTGCAAACTTATTCGCTATTCCAGTGATATTTGAGTTACTGTAAAAATTCTACTCTAGAACCTGTTTGCTATTCTGATAACACACAATGTGTAGTTAAGGTTGAATTGGTTTGTATTAGGATTATTGTGGTTTATATCGTGAGTTACTATAAAAATTTTGGTATAGTACTTACGAGCTATTCAGTGATACACAGTATGTTGTTAAGGTTGAGTTAGTTTATATTGGAATTGTCCTGAAAAATTTCTGCTGCAGAGCTTCTAGTGTGAGACCAGAAATGTAACCTGATGCAGACATGTGTTCTGTGACCTCAGATATTTCCAAATTGGGGTTTACTAGCCAGAAATCACAGAATGGCCATTTCTGGCAAAAACGGTAGAAATTACAAAAATGGCAGAAATCAGAAATTACAGAAATGGCAGAACTGATGATTTTGGGATTATTAGGTATTTTGACAATAAGGTTGTTTGTATCAATAAGGCATTTTTTGGAGTTATAGACAGCTTTTGTAGACAGAATCATTATTATAAATAAAGGCCTTTGGCTCTTGGGAAAAGAAAAAGTTCCCACCTTTGCTTTTATTAAAACATAAACTGATAATTTACGTTTTACTTAAATAACAAAACACCTAAGTTATATGAACATACTCTACCAACTACATACATTCTTTTATTAGCCACTCATCCAAATCTAACACACCTCTTTCGATCTTTGTTTCAGTATTCTGTTGGTCAGTTACCCGATGGCTGTAGAATGATTGACCAACCGATTTCACCTCTGACAACAGTATGCGATTGAGTCATTTTGCATTAAAACTATCGTGATTTCTATCGTTAGTTACTGAAAATTCATTTGCAAACTTATTCACTATTCCAGTAATATTTGAGTTACTGTAAAAATTCTACTCTAGAACCTGTTCGCTATTCCGATAACACACAATATGTAGTTAAGTTTGAATTGATTTGTATTAGAGCTATTGTAATTTATATCGTGAGTTGCTATAAAAATTTTGGTATAGTACTTACAAGCTATTCGGTAATACACAGTATGTTGTTAAGGTTGAATTGGTTTATATTAGAATTGTAGTGAAAAATTCTGCTACAGAGCTTCTGGTGATCACAGTATGCGATTGAGTCAGTTTGCATTAAAACTATCGTGATTTCTATCGTTAGTTGCTGAAAATTCATTTGCAAACTTATTCGCTATTCTGGTAATATTTAAGTTACTGTAAAAATTCTACTGTTCGCTATTCCGATGATACACAATGTACAATTAAGGTAGAGTTATTTTTTATTAAAATTTTCGTAATTTATATTGTGAGTTGCTATAAAAATTTTGGTATAGTACTTACTCATTATTCAGTAACACACAGTATTGGAATTGTAGTGAAAAAATTCTGCTGCAGAGCTTCTGGTGATCATAGTATGCGATTGAGTTAGTTACTGAAGATTCATTTCAAAACTTATTCACTATTCCGGTGATATTTGAGTTACTGTAAAAATTCTACTCTAGAACCTGTTCACTATTCTGATAACACACAATGCGTAGTTAAGGTTGAATTGGTTTGTATTAGGATTATTGTGGTTTATATTGTGAGTTGCTATAAAAATTTTGGTATAGTACTTACAAGCTATTTGGTGATATACAGTATATTGTTAAGGTTGAGTTAGTTTATATTGGAATTGTTATAAAAATTTCTGCTGTAGAGCTTCTGGTGATCACAGTGTGAGACTGGAAATGTGACCTGACGCAGACATGTATCCTGTGACTTCAGATATTTCCAAATTGAGGTTTACCGGCTAGAAATCACAGAATGGCCATTTCTGGCAGAAATAGCAAAAATTACAGAAATGGCAGAAATGGCGATTTTGGGATTATTAGGGATTTTGACAATAAGGTTGTTTCCGTCAATAAGGTATTTTTTGGAGTTATAGACAGCTTTTGTAGATAGAATCATTATTATAAATAAAGGCCTTTGGCCCTTGAGAAAAGAAAAAGTTTCTACCTTTGTTTTTATTAAAACATAAACTGATAATTCACGTTTTACCTAAATAACAAAACACCTAAGTCATATGAACATATCCTACCAACTACATATATTTTTTTATTAGCCACTCATCCAAATCTAACATGCCTCTTTTGATCTTCATCTTAGTATTTTGTCGGTCAGTTACCCAATAGCTGTAGAACGATTGACCAACCTATTTCACCTCTGATAACAGTATGCGATTGAGTCAGTATGCATTAAAACTATCGTGATTTCTATCGTTAGTTACTAAAAATTCATTTGCAAACTTATTCGCTATTCCAGTGATATTTGAGTTACTGTAAAAATTCTACTATTCACTATTCCGATGACATACAATGTGCAATTAAGGTAGAGTTATTTTTTATTAGAATTATCATAATTTATATTGTGAGTTGCTATAAAAATTTTGGTATAGTACTTACTCACTATTCGGTAACACAGTATGTTGTTAAGCTTGAGTTGGTTCGCATTGGAATTGTTATGAGTTACTGTTATAGAACTTACCAGTACACATGGTGTGTATGGTTAAAGTTGAGTTAATTTGCATTGGAATCATTATGATTTTTATCATGATTACTGTAAAAATTATGTTACAGTGTGATTGGGTTAGTTTATACCAAAAGTTATCATTAATTAACAAGAAATTCAAATATTAAGAAACCTACTTGCGGCAATACACTGTAAGTATTAAGGATAAATTAGATTAAAGATGCTGAAAGACTCGTAACGACGACTTCGGAAGCAACAAAAACTTACTGACGATAACAGAATCGCACCAAAGATGGCTCCAATAATGACAACTCCAATTGACGTCACCTAAAAGCACAAAAAAATCAAATCAAAGTCAGTAAGATAAACCCTGGTGACAGAAACATCCCTAGTCAAAGGCAAGCAAAAAAAAAAAAAGAAGTCAAAATAAAGCAACTGGTTTTATTTGTTTTGTGTTTATGGTTACAATGTAGCAATGATTTGCTAACTTATTTTTTTTGTCTCTTTCTAGGTGTTTCAATTGGAGTGGTAATATCCCATTTTTTATTTTGATTCTTTTTATTCATTTCTTCTTCCTCCCCCTCCTCTTCCTCCTCTCTCTCCTCTTCTTCCTCCCCCTCCTCTTCCTCCTCTCTCTCCTCTTCTTCCCCTCTCT